TCCCTAACGTTCTGTGATTCTGTGAACTCTGTGGTCACACAGAAAATTCAGTAGCGTGAAGTCATGTTACTGTTAATACTTTACAAATAAAATAGTATTTACTGTAAGGAGGTAGTTGGGATCATTGCTCTGCTGTCATGAGCAGTGACCTAAGCCACTTACATGAGCTGTGTGAACTGCTGTTCCCAATCCTGAGTTGTAATTAGTGACCCAACAATTTACTTCTGAAACAGCGTAGAACAATTTCAGAACTTGCCTTTTGAGAGATGTGCTTTGTACTGATCTATTGGTTGAGATTATTGTTTTTCAGTTGATTAGGAGAAGGTTATGTCATTTTAAATCTTTAGGTTTGGTACTTTTGTCAGCATTTTGCTTTACTTCTCCATGCTTCCACTTTGATGTTGTACAGATAGCAAAGTCTAGAGCTGCTCCTATGACTTTGAGTAATTCTGACTCTACATTGATGAAAGCTGATAAGATCTGTTCTTACTGAATACAAGATTGCTATGAAGTATGCTAGTCTCACCTACCTTTGGACTAATTTATGCAATTTAAATCTATGTTACTCCGGGAATTGGCTAAAAGACTATCATAGATAATTTTACCATGTTCATTTTTCATTTATTAAATTTTACTGATGGATACCACTATAAGAAGTTGGAATAAAGAAGAGAAACACTCTGAAAAACTTTATTTACCTAGTTCCTATAGACCAGGTATAATAATTTTACAATAATTTTAGAAAAAAGTCTATGTTAGAAGACTAAAGACCTTTTAACATTCCTTCTGTTTATGCTACTGAAAATCTAGTTGTTTCAGCCATTCTTTCTGGTTAAATCAATCATGAGAAGAGGGGCTTTAGGCTACACTGGCACTGTGGGTTTGTGGATGAATACTTAGTGAATCTTTGCAAGACTTTGAACACTGGCTACCTCTTTCGTCTGTCAGTTTGCACTGAACGTTAATTTTCCCTGAAATTACAATGCTTAGAAGAGTGAATCTATCTTTCATTAAATTTGTCTGTTATTTGCCTTTTGCAGATGCATGTGACCTTGTTCAAGATAGTGGAGAATGTCAGCATTACGTTCTGAAGTGGTACTACGACAAAAAACGGAAAATCTGTGGTCAGTTCTGGTATGGGGGCTGTGGAGGCAATAAAAATAGGTTTGAAACACAAGAAGAATGTGGATTCTTGTGTATAGAGTCTTCCTAGTGCAGAGTCACTTATATTACTTTAACTCTACGGTTACACTATCAAGGTGATGGAGAAAAGGGTTTGAAAGAGAAAGCCTTACATAGACACTTGACTCCCATGTTTCATTAGAAAAAGTGATTGTGAAGTTATTATCTAGTAACTTAATAGTGAAAGTAAAATGAAAACTAATTCTCAGTTGATCTGATACAACATGTTGAGTACTGAGAAACATCTGTTAGCCAATAGTGTATTATTTAAAAGCAATAAAGTGTTGAAACTTGACTTTGCTCCATGAACACCAAAATGTGCACTTTTACAATGTATTGAATAAAATAAAAGAGTACCTCAATGATTTTTCATGAAATAACATTGGATGCAAGACACTGTTGTCAAAATGTTTTGATGCGTTTGCTCGCATTTATCCTGCTTATAGAAAATACCAAAAAGCATTTACCTCTCAAAGGATATAAAATTACTTCACTTTGATTTAGAGGATTTTCTACCATAGAGTCATTCTTGGCTTTTAATTTTCTTTTTTTCCAAATTATTCAACATGTGAATAAAATGAATAATTCTCAAATATTTCACTTCTGCTGTTAGTTCTTGAAACAGATGTAAGCATATTCTCATAGTGTGGCTTCTCATACATAAATAGCCATTGGTCCCTTTTCCTTGTCACCAGAAGTTAGACAAATGCATTCATTTTATAACATTAGATTTTTGTGGTTGCTCTTGAGGGAAAGAAGCAACCCTGAGGACATCACCTGCTTAAAGATAATAAATGCAATGCCTTGCAGAAGCGTGGGACTTAGCTGAGCTTTCATGCTCTGCTGACTTACTCCAAATCTACTGTTGCCCATTTTATATCTGTAGAAGGCATGGTGCACTTAACTTTGTCACCTTGGGCCAGTCTTTGTAGAGGTGGATGTACTCTCTTCGTTCCTCTCTCTATTTGTCTATAACAAGATAGGTATCTTGTTAGATTTGCATAGACTACTGGCCAAGAGTCCCTCAACAAACTTCTAAGGAACATACATGAACTTGGATTTCCAGAGCCTGGTGCTTTTGGCTGTCACCCAGACGAGTCTATTGTGAACAGTGACTGAACAGGACGGACTCTCTGAGGCTCTGCCAGCCTCAGGACTATAATGATGCTGAGCAACTCAATGCTAAAGGTGACAGTGCCACCCTTAGCTCAGCCGAGGAAGGATCAAAATGTCAAATGGGTCACTGCTAAACTGAGCAGGAATGTGTGAGTTGATAAGGCCATTGGTCTTTCACCTTTGAGTTTTCTTGCAAGAGACAGGATGGGACTGCCATGGAGTGGCATATACTCAACTCTCTGTTTCTGTTCTTTTTCTACATTTATGACTGGGAAATGGTATTTAAGGAGGGCACCTTAGTTGTCTGTTTGGAGGCTAGAGCTGGTCTATTTTGTGAAGCAATAAATTGAACCTGGGTTTGCTTTTTACTGCAATATGTACGGTGCCTTTAATTCTGAAGTGTTTAATGTCTAGATTTCCAAAATTCTGTTTTCTGTGTCTAATAGCTGTTTCTTCACAGGTGCTGCCATTTGGCAGTACTTTCTCTCCACTTTCAAAATCAATTGCTCCCTTCCCTTAAGTCAGGTGTACATGAGAAGTGAGTTTCCCTTTTTTGGAGAACTGTGTTGTTCCTTAGATGAGCCTCACAGAAATCTTGTCCCTAAGACAGGACAGCTTGGCAGTTTGATCTCCTATTTTCTTTAGAACTTTTAATGTTCTCATTTTGTTCAGATAAATAATTATTTTGCTTGGAAGGGAGTAGTAAAAAATGAAACATCTCTGTTCTCATACCAGAAGCAATTTTTGATATCTTGAGTTCTCTTTGGCCCAGGAGACACGGAGTCCTCTGATGGATCTCAGTTACCTGCAATCCATCTCTTCCTTTAAGTTGGTTCTTGTTTTCTGCATCTAGTCTTGCTGCTGGCTCAAAATTCTTGTTTTTTTGGTGAGGGAAGAGTCCCACTGTGTAGGATCTTCTCTCATGGATAAGCAGAAATTAATGTGTCTGTGTGGACTGACCAGCTCACGCTTTCTCCCATCTGATTGCCTCAGACAAGCTGGTTGATCATCCTCTTTCTGGAGCAATGCAGGATAAGACCAACCAACTACCCCAATTTGAAGAATGACTCTCAGAGCCTCCTAATCTGTTTTCCCTCCTTCATCACTGGTATAAATCCCCTTGGCTCTTTTCTGAAGCTTAGGGATCTGTTGTCTAACCCCTCTCGCATCCTTCTCTCCCTGACAGATGGTCAAGCAAGCAACGTTTGCAGGCTTTTTTTTCTTTTCCCCTTTTCAGACATACAGAGTACTATAGGAATTCAGATCAGTTATGCAAGTTAACATACGAAAAGAATTATTCTGTGGGCAACTGATCAGACTTCTCTGACTGCTGCATTTCACTGAGTTGTGAAACATCAGTGTTCAGCAGATGGTAAAATATTTTTGTGAAATTTTAAGTTCTGATACCAGCGAGACATTCTGGTGTTGCTGCCTCTAAGAGCTCTGTTAAGAGCCTTTTGTGAGAAGCCTAGGTGCTGGATTTCATGTCTGAGTTAATACTGCAGTTTTGGTGCTGTGGGTGCTTAAATATCAGAACATTGCTCTAGGTAGCACCTACTTATTTTGAACCCTTGGCATTCTTTTGAATGGCTGTGGTATAAAAGATGATGGAACTGTTAAACTCTAGTGTGTGGTGTGGCATGTGGTGATCTCCTCTGGTCAGGACATGCCCTTCCTCCCACCCTGTCCCCAGGTGCCTCTGTGGAGCTGTGCTTACACAGCCTGTATTACCATATGTCTTCTGCAGCTGGCTCCAGTTTGAAAGCAGTTTCAGCACTGTAGCTTGAGGCCTTTGTGCCAATGCTAATAAACCCTTATTTTTAAAGACAAATTAATTAATATAGGAATAAATGTCCATTAGCAGAATAGAAACTGTAGTATGACTATTTGTGCTGCGATGTGACTGTCTGCCATGAGATAACATTCTCTCCTCTAATGAAAGCAGTCTTCTGAAGATGTACCCACTGCTCAGTTGAGTGAATTAAGAGCAGATTTTCCCTGCTCAATCCCAGAGTCCTCCCAAACTATAAAAGAAACATGAACCTCTCAGAAGTAACAAGGAAGTGGTTTCTTTATGGATGTTGTCAGAGTCTGTGTTTAGGGAGTCAAGCCATAGACTGATAAATCTGTTTAGGGAGCAATTTAGTTTTGCCATGGTAAACCTGTGTGTGATATTTATGCTAGTGAGGGCCTTTGTAAAGATAATGTGTAGTTTTAAAAGTGCAAGAAGGCAGATCTACTAAATCTCATGCTACTACTGTCATATGTCAACCCAAATGCACATATTCTAAGTTTTGTAATCCAGAGTAGCTGTATTTTGAGGCCAAATCCTTTGTAAACGAAGGTGATCAACAGAGAACATACATGCCTGGGACTGAAACACTGCTTGTCAATTCTGCTGAATGTGAGTAAATTTAATACCCTTGTTTATTTGGTTATATTTTTTAATAAAGATTATAATGATGTGAAAATGCTTTTAATCTAGTACTTATTTGTAAAAGGTTTCAGATTGACTCTTATATTAATTAGGCCTAGTGATATATATATATATCTTAATTCAACAGGTCCAGATTGTGTTAGAGAAAAATATGAAGCACGTTTGAGGAAAAACATCCAAGTTTCTGGCCTTGTGTTATTTTTTAATCTCCTATTGCAGAATTTGGCTGCATATCTGGCAGGTGAATTGACCACCTTTTCTAGTGAGAAAGGAGCCCATTTCATATAAAACATGTAAGGGTTAAATTTTACCTTTTGTAACAAGGCTGGTACATATCCTGGCTGTAATTTGAACCCAATGTGAATGGAATGCAAGTCTTATGTTCTTCTTCAGGACATGAGGCGAGTGCCATCACAACTTGGCAAGGTACAATGAATGTGCAGAATTTGAATGGAGTTCGTAGTTATCAATGCATCAGAAGTCAATGTTGCTTTTTTCACTGACCCACAGAGCCTTGATGCTTGCAAGTTGCTGGTAGTGGTCTGGTGCTGTTTTCCAGCAAGAATCCCTGGTTCTGGACACCAGGGGGATAATCTGGAGCGAAGAACTACCTTTGGTGGAAGAGGATCAGGTCAGGGAAGGCTTAAGAAAACAGGACATATGTAAGTCCATGAGCCCAGATGGGATGCACCCATGAGAGATTTGAGAGGCCACTCTTGCTAATCTTGGATCAATGATGGCAACTGGGAGAAGTGCCCAAATACTGGAGGAAAGCAGATGTCACTCCTGTCTTCAAGAAGGGGAGGACACAGGGAGCTACAGGGCAGTCAGCCTTGCCTCGATCCCTGGGAAGGTGATGAAGCAGCTAATTCTGGAAACCATTCCAAGCACATGAAAGACAGGAAAATCATCAGAAGTAATCAGCATGGATTAACCAAGGGGGAAGCCATGCTTGATCAACTCAACAAACTTCTATGATGAAATGACTAACCTAGTAGATGAGGACAGAGCAGTGGATATAATCTACTGGACTTCAGTAAGGCCTTCTCACTGTCTCCTAATAGACAAGCTATTGATATAGGGGGTGAAGAAGCAGTGAGGTGGATTGAAAACTGGCTGAATGGCCAGGCCCAGATGGTGGGAATCAGTGGTGCAAGGTCTAGTTGGAGGAGAATAATTAGCAGTGTACCACAGGGGTCAATACTGGGACCAGTCCAGTTTAACATCTTCATTAATTACCTGGATGGTGAGGCAGAGTGTACCCCCAGCAAGTTTGTAGATGGCACAAAACTGGGAAGTGTTGCTGTTATGCCAAAGGGTTGTGCTGCCATCCAGAGAGACCTGGACAGGTTGGAGAAATCGGCTGACAGAAACCTTGTGAAATTCAACAGGAAGAAGTGAGACTTCAAGAACTCCTTTCTCATTTTTCATTCAACATTAGCTCTACAAAAGGAAGTCAAAGTCCTGTATCTGGGGAGTAATGACCCCATGCACCAACCAGCACAGGCTGTGGGCCACCCAGCTGGAAAGCAGCTTTGCAGAAGACATGGGTGTCCTGATGGACAGAGTCGAATATGAGTCAGCCCTTGTTGCAAAGGCTGATTGTATCCTGGGCTGCATTAGTTAAAGTATTGCCAGTAGATGGAGAGGCTTGATCTTTCCCTTCTACTCAAGACGAGGTGAGACCACACCTGGAGTACTGTGTCCAGTTCTGGGCTCCTCAGTACAAGAGCAACATGTACATGGAAGAGAAACCAGCAAAGGGCCACAAGGATGATGAAGGGACTGGAGCAGAAGGTTGAGATAGCTGGGACTGTTTAGAGAAGGATCTTATCAATATCTATAAATACCTGAAGGGAGAGGGTGTAAAGAAGACAGACCCAAGATCTTTTCAGAGATCCCTAGTAACAACACAAGAGGCAATGTGCACCAACTGAAACACAGGAGGTTCCCTCTGAACATCAGGAAACACTTTTTTACTGTGGGAGTGACCGAGTACTGGCACAAATTGCCCAGTGGAGTCTCCCTCCTTAGAGGTATTCAAAGGTCATCTGGACACAGTCCTGGGTAACCAGCCCTAGGTAGCCTTGCTTGAGCAGGTGGTTTGGGATCTTTGGGAGTCCCTTTCAGCCTCAGCCATGCTGTGATGCTGTGCTTCTGTGACTGTATAGCTACTGCTTCTGTGAGAACTCTATCATCTGCCAAAATGCACAGCAATTTCTCTCTTGTTGAAACAGGTTGAAACAATTTGCCCTGAGAGCAAACCAGCTATTGTGATTAGAAATTTTTGCACAAAACTGTTAGTAGAGATTTGTGCAGTTAGTTGTACACAGAGCCTTTACAGTGTGTGGCAGTCAGGAAACCCTTTTCTCTTTAACACAAGGGCTTTCAATATTTTCCCTTCTTATGTCTTGTTTTTCTGTTCCCTTACCCCATTAGCCATTCCTGTTGCTACCTCTTTCACTGAGGCTAAGCCAATATGCTTTACTAAATGACTAACCCTACATATCCACAATAGAGCAAAATAGCAATTTTTTTTTTCATTTTGGGACAATTTTCCCATAACGTGTGCAAGTATATGGAATCATGGCTGAACAAGGTAGTGTCATCCAAAGGCTACTTGGAATGAACTGCTCGACCATTAAAGCAAACTGAGGGCTTGGAGGGAGCTGTATTTGGTCTCAAAATTAAGTTACTTTGTTGTGCTAAGTAGCATGTGGAACAAAACAATCCACCCTTGCTTTTGAACAGGATTTTAAACTTTTATACATACATGTAATACTTGTACAAATACAAGTAAGCCCCAAATATCAACTTTCCTAGCCAGCCCTGCTCTTGGTTGCTCTAGGATAACTCTGCTGCCTGCAGTCGGGTTACATGAGCGAATCCAGCTGGAAAACATGCTTCCAGCAGCAATTTTGTGTTCTGGTATCCAGCCACTGTCATAAAAGATACATAGAAGTTTCTTGTTAAATAAAAACATATAACAAGCAAAACAATTACATTACTTTCTTCCTTTTCACTCAGGAAGTGCTCCGCATATCTTGCCAAAAGTAATCAGTTTTAGCAGGGTTTTCTGTAATTCAGAACAGGAGACAGCTGGAGACATCACGCTTTATTGATGCATGACAAGCCAAACCCAGAGAGTTCAGTGGAAAGACATTACTGACAGGTTTCCCAATGATTCATCTCTGTGCTTGGTAGCTTTGTCTTCCAGTGGAAAGTCTGTGGTGCCTTGCACCAGCCCCACTGCATGCTTCCACCTTTGCAGTGGCAAGTGCAAAGATTCCTTTATTACAAAGAAATTGTTGCATAAAGTCCTTAACCTTTGTATTGCTGAGGGCCTGCCATTTGCCCACTTGTGGGTAGCAGTATTAACACACTTCTGATAGAACGATACTAATTTGGGGAAAAACAAAACAAAAGTTTTGCAGGTCTCAGGGCTAATTCTGAATACTTTACCTGTACGACCTGGGAGCTCTTATAAGTTTAGCTGGCAGATCTGTAGGGTGAGACACTTCCCTGGAGTGGAAGAGAAACGCAGAGGCCAATGTCTTCTAATAGTTTGTTGGTGGTCAAAACTAAGATGTTTTGACTTTAGCAGTGCAGCTGTTGCAGTCTGTACTTGTTGAGGGAATGTCATTAGCACCATGGCAAACCTTAGCTTTTCCTTAAGACAGCAAGAATCCCTTGGGAACATCCTGGGTTATTGGCTGTGTGGTGCCAGTGGCAGAAGTGAAGAGTATTTAACTTGCACTGAGGCTGATTCCATTTTCTTAACCATGTGCTAATAAACCTGATAACCCAGCACAGCAGTGCAGTGTTATACCAGGTGGTATGCCACTGAGGAAAAGAGGAGAAATAAGAACAAACTAGTAATAGACATGTCCAAAAGAGCATTTAAGAACACATTTGGTCTGAATTGGTTTCATTTTTTAGGAATGAAAGCACTGATTCTCTCTTCTTAGGAAAACTTGCTTTCGAAGTGCAATGCCAAAAGGATTAGCAGTAGGCTTGACCTCTTTGATTTACTAGGAATTGCAAGAATAGATCTAGCAGCAGCTTTCTTTATGTTTCCTTGGAAAAAAAAAGATTAAACTGGAAGAAGAGCTTTAAAAATTATGCACAAAATATTTCTTACTGAAGAAATAAAGTGAAATAATGACATACATTCTATACATGAAGATGGGTCCCACTGAATACAGAACAGTATGTGCTAACTCCCCTTAAAATAAAATTTAAAAATTCCCTTTAAAAATACAGGCTTTGCTCTGATTCAAAGGAATCACTTGCACAGTAGTGAGCCCTTCTTAGCAAGTTTTTATTCAAATATTTTTAGCTGAGAAATTAGAATTCTTTTTTTTTTTTTTTGCTATTTCAAGACCAGAGATTCTTTGTGCCCTTTTTATAGTCTCACATAAAACTGCACTTCTGGAGACAGAGTATGTTATAGGGGTCATCAGCCATTCTGTCCTGTCTCTCATTTTCTGCTCAGTTAGGCAAAATCTCTGAGTAAAGCATGCGCTACTGTGGAAACCTGGTAGCGGTCTGTAATAGAGTTCTAAAAAGGATGATAATTTCATGCTTTTTTGATTTCATGCTATCATAGGTCAGCTCTTTGTGAGATCTGTCAGGTGCACTGTCCTAGCCCCTAGAGATGGTACTGCTGTTGTATCACTCTGTCCATCAGTTACAAATCCAGTTTTCATTAACTGAGAAGCTGATTTGGCAGAGTAACACCACTCTGAGATCTGTAGTCAAAAGAATGTTCTCTGCAGATGCAAATTCATCCAGGCGTTGCTTTCTGCTCAATGGTATCACCCCTGCTTTGTGCATGGTCAGTGTCCACTAACCGTCTGTTTTATCTTCTCAGACTGATCTTTGTGCCCTTTTCTGTGTTGTATGCCCTCTGCTCTTGGGACCTGCTCTTTCTTACAGAAGGAAAGAAAAGAGAAGAAAGTGTCCAGATAGTCTCCGAACCTCTGTGACAAGTTTCTTGGCAGCCCTGTAGCACGGCTCCTCTCCACCAACTCTGCAGGTTGGTCTGTTAGCAGGTGTACATCACTACGTCTCTCACTTGAAGCCAAAGGAAAGATCCCAGTGACTTCAGAGGCAGCTCACCTAAGTCCACCTTGCATCAATCCTGAATGCTCCTGCTGAACAGCACCTTCACCATGTACATCTACTGTTTTCTGGAGTCAAGTAGTGTTGTGAAGCATCTTGTGTGACCCATTTCTGCCCAGTGCTTGCTTTCTGGGTGAATGCATGTTTCATGCTCCAAGGAGAACGTGTCTGTCTGTCAGCAGTTTTCAAGACCTTAGGGAAAACTGAGCATTACTTACTTCCAAATCCCATCGCCTTCTTGGAATAAAAATAATCTTACTACTAGCTCTAAAGTGTGTCTAATAGAAAATCATCTTCATTTCATTTGAGAAATACGGTGTTTGATTGTGAAAACTAGGGACTGTTTGATGTCTTTATCAAATTAAAACATCTGTAGCTAGAAGCTGTATATTACATCTTTCCAGATATTTATTGCAAACCTCTAAAAATACCTGAAAATACATGAACAACTAGTTAACTTAGACCTAAGGGAGGGCAAGGATTTACTCTAACAATGACATGAAGAAAAAGATCAAGTGTTCCCTAGGGGGATCTAAGAGGGAAATAACATGATTCCTCCTCTTTAATTAGTTTTCTTGGCTAATTTAAACCACAGCTGTAAATTCTGAAACATTCTCTTTTCTTTTCAGTTTCACTGACAGAAAGTCTCTGAGTTCCCACAAAATTTCCAAGCCAAGGCTGTGCTAGCAGCTGCAGCCCCAAGAAAGGGCGTGTCTGAAGGGCCATCAGGAGCCAACTCTCTAGATAATTATTGTGAAATGCAGGACTGCCAGCGCTGGCAAAGATGTTTCAGTAGTGAAAGACCATGTTGCAATTATCCTATCCCTGTTCTGGTACTGTCTCAGCTGTGCATAACTTACCCCAATATCTGTGATGGAGTGCAGGAGACTGCCATACTCCTTAGATTAACAGAGCCTGAGCTCCTGGGGCAACAGAGTGCTTGCCTGTACCCTTGCTGGAGTTTTACAAGTGCTACTAGCTTTATGCCCAGAAATAATGCGTTGCTGGAGTTTACACTAGAGTTTGTCCAAAGCTGGCCAGCTCAGAGCAGAGTCTCCTAGCCAAGCAATGGTGAAAGAAAACATTACTAGCAAATGCTGTTACAACAGAGTTTATTGTTGATTAGGAAAACTCCCAAAATATTCCCTAAACTACATTGAAAAAACAAAGGTGAGCACAGCCAATCCAAGAAGTCTAAATCAAGGCTGCTAATTCTTCCAGATAACTTCCTCTTCCATCTGCAACATGCCTGGCCTGTTCAGGCTCAGCTTCTGCCAGGTGATTTACACCTACCTGCCTTGCTGGAAGCCTGTGTTATTGCGGAAGAAGCGTCAGTGTCCTATATCCTATGAAAGGGAGGCAAAAGTTTATAGCACCTGATTATGGAGTCCCAGAGGCTCTAGTCTGTGTCAGACTGACTCATTCAGCAGAGGTGGAACAGAGACAACTTCCCTTGCAAACTTCTCATGAGACTGGTATA